TATAATTTAACACTTCTTTTCATATTAGAGTGATGAAGTGAGTCTTTATTTTTATCCTTTTCACTCATATTGTCTAAGGTCCTCCTTGCACTAAATTTGTCATTCGCTCCTTTTTATTTCATTCCTTAACTTTTTCTCACCTAACAACTTATTTTTTTTAACTAAAACCATTACTCCAAAAGAATAAAAGTTAGATGACTATTCAGTCCAGCCTTCACCACCCCAAATTTTTATGTTAAAAAGTTAGGATCCTAATTTCTTTTTCCTTTATTTACAGTGTACATACACACATAACATGCAATAGCTCCACTACTTCATTCATCAAGTCCAAACTCAACATGCAAGAGGAATTTCACAAATCTACCACCATCACCACGATTCAAGTGTTGCACACATAACATGCAATAGTTCCAACACTTCATTCATCAAATCCAAACACAACATGCAAGAAGAATTTCACACAATCTATCACCATCACCACACTTTGAGTGTTGCACACACCACACACATAACATGCAGCAGTTTCAACACTTCATTCATCAAGTCCAAACACAACATGCAAGAGGAATTTCACACAATCTATCACTATCACCATGGTTTAAGTACTGCACATGCCACACACATAACATGCAAGCATCCAAAATGAAAGAGATGTCCTCCAAATGTGCAAGCAAGGTAAAATTTAGTAAGGTCTAAAGGAATGGACTCCCCTTTACTTGTGATGAGGAGTTCTTTTAGAAGAAAAAAAGAAAGGAAATGGCAAAAGAAGTGATCCTGCCTCACAACAACGTATCAAGGTACCTTAAAATGAAAGGGAAGGGAAATAGATGAGAGAAAAATGATGGATGTGTGGTATGGTGCAATAAGGTGAGGCTCACCTTAGGAGTATTCTCTAAAATTCTTCCAATAGAAAAAGGGCTGCAAAGTGTGATTGAGGTAAGGAGAGGTAGTGACATAGTTGGAGAAGAGAGAAATGAAAGATTGGAATATGGTTTAGGTGTTGGATAGGGGAGAGAACCAAAAAGGACTTTTTGAGAGAACTCCCTTTTGTTTTCTAATTGGCATGAAAGTGACCAAGTAACTTGGAAATGGATTGATTTTGGTGAGTGCTATCCCAAGAACAAAATTAGGTGTATGAGAAAGTGAGTGCATGAAATGTGAGTGGAGGAGAAGGGAGGTGACAAGACTTGCAAGCTCTCCCTTCCTCGAAGGCTACTAAGGTGGTAGGACAAGACAATAGAAACTTCCTTCATTTAATGCAAGTGTAGAATTTCCCAAGCCACTTTGGAGCCAACCATGTAGCACATAGAATAGAAAGAAGGAAATGTTTTTTTTTTTTTGAATGATTGATCTGAACTTTCATTTGTGCAAGTGGGATAATATGGGGTGACTAAATCCAGTTTTGTCCATTAATATACTTGGCCTTGTAATCAAATGGTCATGCGATTTATTAAATAGTCATGCTATTTATTACATTTTAGGTAATTTTAAGATTAGAATTAAAGATACAGGGAGAAGAAACAAAAGGAAAAATGATATAAGGTAATTTTGGGATGAAAAAAGAGTTTTGAGTGTTTTGGAAAAGAAAATATAAGATCTTCCATATGGGTAAAATTTTTATTTTTAATAATTTTATTAGATATATACATACAATTTGAGGACAAAAATGTCATGTTAAAAATTGGTTTGCGAAACTTTTCACCTTTTCTAAGCACTAATTTAAATCAATGAACAAAATCAATCACTAACACAAAAAAGATAAGAGTAAGGCAAATCAAGAAATAAAAATCCAAACTTTTCTAAATAAATAAGAGAATATTGAATCCTACTTTCTTTACAAAAAAACCTCAAATAAGTTTGAAGTGTACTCACCTCCTCCATCGATCCTAACAACCTTGATAAACTTGCCACTTTACTTTTCAGTCATAGTTTTGAACTTTTGTAAAACTTCAAGTACTTTGCTCTTGATCTTGATTTAGTGAATCCACATCATCCAAGTATTATGGACCCTACAAGGTGGCTCAAAAATACAAAAAGATTGTTGATTGAGGTTTATTTATGTAGATTCAAGAAAAAACATTGAAATTTGAAAATTAAATATAAACATTTACTAGAGGACAAATAGAGACATCAAAATAAGATATTATGATTAAGTTCATTTTCTTGATAATATACTTATATTTAGTACTTTATATATTATAATATTTAATTTCATATAGAAATATATAAACAAGTCAACTAGAAAATATGAATCAAACCATTCAAAACTTTAGAAAAAGAGAAGAGTTAAGACTTTAATTGAATCATAAAAAGGAGTTACGGATGAATTTATAAAGATAAATAAAAATGAATTAGAAAATAAAGACGAATACTCTCTGAATAAACAAGATAATAATAAATTACAATATTTATGTATTAATTAAAAGGTATATATATTATCATAGTTACATATAAATAATATCTATCATAGTGATTGCTATAATAACTAATATAATAGAAATACTAATAAAATTATTTTTATTGAGAATGATATGATAAATATTAATTATAATATAGAGATATATTGGTTTATTATAATAATAATAATAATTATTATTATTATAAAAATATATGTATATCAAGAGAGAGAAAATTAGGATATTATTATTTAGTTTATCTTATTGTCTAATATCAAAAAATTTTTTTTATATAAATCAATTTATTAAATTAAAAAATAATAATAAATTTATTTTTCACATTTTATTAATATTTTGTAACATTTTATTTATATCAAGAAATTATTAATGTTTAATTAGTTTTAGGGCAAATGAAAAATTACTAGTATATACATTGAAAGTCTTTATAATATAAATACATCTTTTGTATCAAAATTATTTATTTTGATAAATTAAGGCATTATGTAATTATTATTATAAGAGAATATAATAACATTATAATAATAACAGTAAATATAAATTTATATGATATTAAATGAATTATTTGATCATAAAATCTTAAATGGTATTGTTTTTAAATATCTCTAATTAAATATTCATATTTGAACATTATAATATGCTTGTATTAACTTAAATGGGAACGAGTATGCATGTCAAAAAATGAAGCAGTCTAGGGGTGAGAAATATGAAATGGTTCAATTGGAGCTTGTTAGGTAAATATGTTTGGAGAGGTTTGAACTCTCCAAATTTGTTGTGCTTTGACGTGTTATGGGCGAATATGAATCATGTGCTGATATGTTAATTTCTTTGGAGGTAACTTAAAGTGCTTCAAATTGGTGGAGGGACGTGGTGTAGGTCTGTAAGCAAGCTAATGGGTGGATAGATTCTAATTTCACATGAGTACTTTGTAATAGTTATTCTTTTAATTTTTGGAAAGATAAATGGGCACGAAATATTACATTAGCAAATTTATATTTAAGGCTGTTTTTAGTAACAACTAATAAAAAGACGCGGGTGAAGGATAACAAACGATTTAAGATGGGTCAATGAGTGTGAAAAATTCATTGGAGAAGGCAATTGTTTTCATGGGAGGAGGATTTGCAACAATAGTTATAGAAAACTATAGAGGGTAAGAGGCTGAGAGAAAATGTGAATGACATGTTGCTGTGAAAGTGTGATGGTGACAAAAAATATAGTGTGCAATCCGGTTTATCACTATATTCATCATTTCTTTATTACAGGTAGTGGTTTAGAGCTAGGTCTAGTGCAAACTTTACACAATATTTGGAAGGTCAGTGCGTCGAGAAAGGTATTGGTATTCGTTTGGTGTCTATTGCTTAATGCAGTCTTGGTGCGGAATAACTTAACCAAACGTGGATTGACGATTCTTTCAGAAGCTTGTGGGTTGTGTGATACTAAAAATAAGGACATTGCATTTTTTTTGCATTGCAGTATCTCCATAAAACTGTGGTACATGGTGTTTGAATAATTTGATATCAGTTTATGCTTAACTGAAAATTTGCATGAAACGTTACTAAGTATGTGTGGAATCCAATGTAAAAAAAAGAAATTGAGGGGAATTGTAATGGTATGATTTGCGATAGTATGAATAATTTGGCTTTAGTGGAATAATATTCTCTTTTCAATAAAAGTATGTTAAATATTAGTGAAATGTTTGATTCTATTAAGTATCGTTCTTAGAAGTGGCTTGCAACAGTACTTTTAACATGTGTTGTCAATTTTTTTAAAGTTGTAATGGGTTAAATTATCACTTGTACTCTAAATTTACCTTTAATAAAATGATATTAACAAAAAAAATAAAAATTACATTAACGAGTAAATAGATTAATGATTAAGTTTCATATATTATGATTACAATATATTACATAAATACACATTATCTTTTTTTTAATTAAAAATTTGTAAACATATATAAGAAAAAGATTTAGAATTATTTTTAAATAATTTACAACTTATTTTATTTAAATTTGTGTAATTTTAAGAAAATAAACTCATACGTAAAGTCTAATTATTTTTACTTGTAATTTTATTTAAAATCTGTGATTTGAAATTTTTAAAATTAAAAGTTAAGTATAATTTTTTTAATGATTAGATATGCATTGTTTATTTATTTATTAAATATTTTTTTTCAAATATAAAATGTTATAACAATTGTGTATTTTAATTCTTATTATATGTTAAAACCATATAATTATATTTAAATAATAAAAAAATATGTTTTTATAAAAACGAAAAGAAAATAAAAAGAAAAGAAAAAACCACTTTGAAGAAGAAAAAAATATTTAAACTTAAATTTAATTTACTTCCTTGTTTTTTTCAAAAAATAATGCTTATTCAGCTAAAACACAAATGTAACGTTATCGCATAAAATTATTAATTAAAATTAATATGATTATGAATAACTATCTTAGTTATATTGTATAATTATTTGAAGCTAGTCAAAGCTGCTCATGCGGCCAGTAAGGCAAACCCCGGCCGAAACCTAAAGAAATGGAGTCTTTTTGAAAAGCAAATAACATTCCTCAGTCCTCACTTCAATTTGTGTCCTTCGGGCAAAGCAGAGAAAGCGCGCAATAATGTCGGGTTTCTCTTTCGGATCTGCTTCATCCCAGTCTTCATCTTCCCCATCTCCATTTTCCTCCTCGAATCCTTCATCTTCCCCATTCTCATTTGGCTCATCATCTTCCCCTGCTTTCTCCTTTGGATCTTCCTCCCTCTTCTCCACCACCACCGCAAACCCTACCTCCACCGCTTCTTCTTCTCCTTTCACTTTCTCCTTTGCTTCTTCTTCCTCCTCATCCACCACCGCTTCTCCAATCTTCGGTGCCGCCAGTTCGGCTTCCCCCTTGTTATCCTCATCCTCTCCTGCAGCGACGCCGTTTGGGGCAACATCCTCTTCTGCAACGACGCCGTTCGGGGCTCCGTCCTCTGCGACGAAGCCGTTTGGTGGAACTTCCTCCGCTTCGACGACGCCGTTTGGAGGAGCGTCCTCAGCTGCGTCGACACTTTTTGCTGGAGCGTCCTCAGCTTCAACTACGCCGTTTGGTGTAACGGCCTCAACTTCGACGACGCCGTTTGCTGGGGCCACCTTAGCTTCCGCGACGCCGTTTGGAGGAGCCTCGTCAGCTTCAACGACGCCGTTTGCAGGAGCATCCTTAGCTTCAACGACGCCGTTTGGAGGAGCACCCTCAGCCTCAACGACGCCGTTTGGAGGAGCACCCTCAGCCTCAACGACGCCGTTTGGTGGAGCATCCTCAGCTTCAACGACGCTGTTTGGAGGAGCGTCTTCTGCTTCGACCACGTTTGGAGTAGCGTCACCTGCTTCGACCACGTTTGGAGTAGCGTCACCTGCTTCGACCATAGCTTCAACGACGCCGTTCGGAGGAACGTCCTCTGCATCGACGCTGTTCGGAGGAACGTCTTCTTCATCGACCTCGCTTGGAACAACTTCTGCAACGACGCCGTTTGGAGGTAGTACTTCCTCTACTGCGTTCGGTGGGTCATCGTATGCCGCAGCGACCGCGTTTGGGGCATCTTCTGCCGCTTCGGTGTTTGGAGGATCATCCTCAGCTGCTGCAACGACGCCGTTTGGAGCGTTCACTGCTTCTTCAGCTTCCTCTTCAGCAGCAGCTAGCTCTCCTTTGTTTTCAAGTGCGTTCGCTACTGGTGCTTCGTCTTCTAGCTCAACGACGTCGTTTTCAGCCTTTGGAAAGCCATCTGCTCCAGCCTCCACGACGACATCTTCTAGCTCTTCGGAATTCTCCTTTGGAACCCCCACTTCCTCTGCTTCTCAACCCTCTCTTGGGTTCCCGAATGCAGCTTCGGCTTCGGCTTCTTCCGCATCTGCTGCGACCAGCACACCGGCTTCCACGCCAGCAGGTTCTTTTTCTTTCACTACGTCTTCAGCACCACTGTTCTCGACGGTGACGACCACCACTGCATCTACCGTGGGTACTGCCAGCACGGCCTTGTCGTCTTCTGTGCCTGCCTTTGGTGCCACGGGTGCATCTGCTGCTCTTGCAAGTTTTCCCTCGTCGGCTTCCGCGATTCCTGTGGCTACCACTGGTGCTGCATCATCTGCTAGTGGAGGATCATCTTTTACTGGGTTCGGCATAGGAAGCACGGTCACATCTGCTGCTTCTTTTGGGACCGGGTTTTCCTTTGCAACTAAGGCATCAACGCCAGCAGTTTCGAGTGTTACTGCTCCTGCATTTGGTGAGCTACGCGATTTCAATCTTTTTAGGAATATCTATATAAATTTATAAAAAATGTCTACTGCTGTGTTTGAGATGTTTGGCCTATTTTTATCATTGAAATGGATATTCTGCGATGATTTACTTCTTTATTGATTTTTGCTTTCAATCAATTTGTTGCTTAGATGAACTTTTTATAGAATGTGATAGAATGTAGATGATTGTCTTTTCTACATTTAATGAAAAAAAAACTGTGTAGGGGGAAGAGTTTGCTCTTGAAGTAAGTTGAGTATTTTTCAGTTATCTTCTCTTTTTTTTATGTTGATTTTTCTGTGGTAGAATTTATGTTGATTCTTGCAGTAATTTCCTCTGTGGTTCTTTAACTGCCTTTTGTTATGAACTCTGAGGGGGAGGAGGGCTCTACATGATTGTGCACTGATGGCAGTAAGTAGTAACATTATTCTTGTCATTGTGAGTACATAATTGGTCAATCTAAATCTCGGTATAAAGACCATTACAGGGCCACTTTATATCCCTCAATCCCAAATATATTAGGAGATGCTTATTACCAAAGTCCACATGTTTATAATCTTCTCTTTTCTTTTTCTAATTGAGGTTTGATGATGGTATATCCTGTTGCCTTGTATCCAACCCAGAAAACTCTAGTTGTGAGGGGTGTTGTTCCTTTGGTCTAATTTTAACTTGTTTCCCAATATGGTTAAGCTTTTTTATTTCACTACTTATGGGCTTAAGGGCCAGTTTGTTCAGCACTACCTTGGTGACTCGAGTATATTGTGAGTTGAGGGTAAAGGTTAAGTTCAATTTTCCTCTGTCTAACACTATAAACTACTTTTTGAATGAAAACAGGAACTATGTGATTTAGATTGGTTGGTTGAAGAGTGGTATTATGGTAGGATATATTACTATATTTAGTTTGTAGGTAGCATTATAGTCAATGAGTTGTTGTGAACGGTATGTGGAAGAAGCTGATCCACGTTTTACTTTGAATCAAGCAAATTTGGAATAATCATTTTTTACCTCAATTATTGGTACTAGTATATCAGAATATTTGCTGAGCTAGAGGATGAGAGAGCTACCTTGATTCACTGCTTCGGTAGTGTTTATCCAAGATTTTACTTCTTTGTACAAACACAAAGAAACGCTGTTTGTATAAGTTAAAGCTGTGAAGCACAGGTTTCCAATAATGAATTCTTTATCAATGTTTTGTCACACCCCAAAACGTGGAATTAAAATATCATTGGGCTTTAGGTAGGGATACAGCACATGCTTCAATTAAATTGCATGTAATTCAGCTGTTTTGTCTTAAAAATTCATTTTGAAGGGAAAGAGAAGGCATTGATGAAATTCCATAACCATTTCTAAGAATTACTCAACTATAGAATTTAAACTTTCTAAGTTGAAGTGAATAACTTTTAATATCTATGACATGCCAAATACAGTTGATCTAGACTTCTTAAGTTGTTGAGAAATTCAAAAGTAAAGTAGTACAACTTGCAGTTTCTCCTGATGCCTTTCTTTTTATGAAGTTGGGAGTCATCTTTGTATTTTTTTTAATCCTTTTTCTATTTCACTTTTCAAAATTACTTGTTCTCATTCTTGTAATTTTGTTTTTTTCCCTCTAACAAATTCTTTCTGTTTTATAAAATATGCAAAATCCTTTTCAAACTTGATGGTTGATTGTTCATTGGAGAACTGATTTTGCAGGGGTGAGCACTTCTTCAGCTGCCACTGCTCCAGCAATTTCCAGTTTGAGTACTAGTGCAACTCAGACATCATCTGCTGTTGTTGTAGCTTCCACCAGTGGGTATGCGTACATTTTATAGGGTCATAGTTGAAGTATTTCCCTCTCTTTTCCTTTCAGTAAATGTAGTTAAGGTATTTCTTTACTCTGTATCTGTGTTACCTTCTACTTTCTGTCTCACTCTTGATTTTCTGTTTTTATGTATCTGCAATAGGTTATATTGGTATTGAGTTGTTGCTATTTTCGTTCAGAAAATTATATGCATTTTACTTTTATTTTAAAAAATAAGGAACGGTTATTCTCATTCAGAATGTTCCTCTATTTGTTTTTACTTACACAGTTTTCAGTAGTAGGAGTATTACATTCATGTGTACTTTGGTGCCTTCAGGATCCAAGTTGCACATGACAACTGATTGTTAGTATTCTACTTGTAAAAGTGACCACACTTGTTTTTCTTTGCATTGAATCTACCTGCTTTATTTTCTGTTAAATCACATTGTTTTCCACAATATATTTCCTTTCCCTATGCTTTACGTTGTGTGTGCATAAGGAGTCATTAATAAATTATAGGAAGGTTCTTTTGATACTTTCTTTTCTGCTTGTCTTATAGAACTACTTCAACTGTCAGCACTTCTGTTGCTGCTGCACCAAAATTGCCATCTGAAATCACAGGGAAGACTGTGGAGGAGGTACTTGATGTGTTCCCTGTTCTTTAATCCACTCCCTACATCATATTTTATTTATTCTTTGAAGGTAATTAAGACTATCAACAGTAGTGCATTTGCCTTAGAAAATTGAGTTTATTTGCCTGGTTAAGACCAAGGTAGTAAAATAAAGATCCTACCTTGAATTAGAAAAGTTAGGAAAACATGTAAATTGTGTAATCATTACACAGATCATAAGATCTCACTTAACTTGTAAAATTATATTTAAATACTTATTTATGTAAAAAATAAGATAAATAAGACAAAAAAGTCTTAAATTTAGACAAGACAACTAATAGCCTTGAACATTTAAGTCACTACATAATTTTAAACATTAAAGACAATCGATAAGTTCTCAAGTCAATAACACATAAAACTCCAAGGAGAATAATGCAAAAAACCAACTACAAGTCAAACATCTTTATTCTTTACTCCGGCAAAATCATTCATGTTTTGGTCATTATATAATCTTCTACTTGATCTTCTTCTCCATGGAGTCCAACTTCATCAAGGTCATCATCAAAAGTGGAAATCTCCAAATCATCTGAATAGCCTATAGGATCACCACCATCATTGCATCATCTCCAACTTGGACCAAGTCTTCATTTGGATTCAACTCCAAGTCCAATAATAAGTCTTGCACATCTACACCATAAGCAGTAGATGAACTTTTATTATCCATACTTCATTCATCATCAGATGAAAGATCATCAAGATTAAGCTTCATTGTTTTCCTAGATGTCTTTTTCTTGACCAATTTTGAGTTATCCATCACATAAACAACATAATTCATAGTTTGTTTCTTCAAACAATTCTGTATCTTTGTGTGGACCTGAAAAATATATAAATGCAATTAATTAATTGCCAGTGCCAGTAACAAGTTAAAAAATGAAATATAGTTCTTAGTTTTAAATCCTTCCAATGCAGAGGCACTTTAATTATGGTCACATTTAGAGGAACTACATGTTAAGCCCAATATATGAATAGAAAATATGTTCATCTCCATAAGATTCCCACCATTGTGTTCGACTTTTGATACTATTTTAAAGTGCATTTAGGTCTGTCTTGATGCCAAAAACTACTTCTTTCCCTTAAAATCTTCAAGTTTTAATATAATTCACATGTAACTCATGTCATTTCTTCTTCATCACTTTCCCCTATCCTTTTTATATAGTCATATAATTCATGTTTAACTCATAGTAGTCAATCTTGGATAGCGTTGTGGGGCAGCCAACCACAAAAATGCTATAGTGGGGATAGCAGTAGCAGGATGACCACTATTCTGAAGTTTTAATGCACACATATACATGCTAAAAAATATAAAAATAATACACAAATTTGGAACAAAAAAAAAAGGGAAACTCTAATCAGAGAAGGAGATAAACAACAAACAGTGAACGGTGCAAGACCAGCCGTGGCTTCTACTTTAAGCTTTGAAATTTGAAATAGAACAAAGTAGGAGCATCAAAACAGAGAAGGAAAATAGAAAAAAATGTTCAGTCCTTGGAAAATGTGTAGATTTGTTGGAAATTTTGCCGTAGATGTAGAAGATGATTAGAAAATGTTTGGACGACATTGGAAGCTTTGCTGAATTTGAAGAAGACAACCTAATATGAAGACGACGATTGAAAACAATCTGGGTCATGTTGGAGGCTTCACCGGAGATGTAGAAGACAAACTGAGAATGTTTTTGTTGCATTAGAAGCCTTGTTGGAGATGAAGGCCACTAAAAGTAGTGGAATTGTGGAGAACAAAGATGAAAGATGAAATGAGAAGTTTAGGGCTCGCGAAAGAGGGAGGGAGAAGATATCAGAAAATAAGAGAGAGAAATCCCTAGATTGCCGTCCTTAAAAGTCACCAAATGTTAAAAAATAGAGGGTAAGTTCAGAATTTCAGCAAGAATAGAATAGTGGCCGCAATAGCCACCATTTCTACCATTTTTGGTCGCGATTCGCGGTGCGACAGCCACTCCTTTGAATTGCGACGCTATGGGGTCTCCAACTCTCCACAGCAGTGTTGTGCTGCTCCACCGTAATAGTGGCCACTATTGACTATTATAGTTTAACTTCAAATCAGCCTTAAAACCATAACTATAGTGTAAAATAGGGTTGAGGTAATAGGTTGCAATATGCAATGGTCAATGGAGTTGGTTGTCCTATCCATAGTTATCAATAGCAGCTATTGCAGCAGAGCGGCGCAGTCCTGCTATGGTGACCTTGTAGTGTCGCAGTTTTGACCCTGTGAATAGTGGCTGAAAATCACTGCTGTAGCAGCCGCTATGCTGTCCTCCCTGAAAATTCTGAATCTACCCTCTGTTTTTTAACATTAGAGGCTTTTAAGGGGGGGGGGGGATCTTGGGATTTTGCCCCCCTTTATTTTCTGAATCTTCTCCCTCTCTCTCGCAAACGCTAGCCCCTCAACTCTCTCCTCAGCTCTCCTCTCATTTCTCCTTTCATTTCATCTCTGTTCTCTTTGTTTCCATCGTTGGAGTGTGACCTTCATCTCCGGCGAGGCTTCTAACAAGAAAGGGGCATTTTTTCATCTCTTTTTGGCGAACGACAAACTTGTTGGTGACTTAACAATTTTTTTTCTCTGTTTTGATTTTAAGTTGGATCTTAAATTTATATTTTTTAGCATATATATGTGTGTAACTTAATTTGTATGGGTATATTTATAATGCCTAAAATAGTGGTCATCTCGCCATTTGCTATTTTGTTGCTATCTGAGATTAACTACTATGGTCCTATCTTTCATCAATGTTAGTTTGTTATTAAAAATATTTTCTGGGGATATATGTCCAATGGATCACAATTACCAAAAAAAAGTATTTTCTTTTGGTTCGATCTGTAATTTTATATGAAACAATAGACAGTATCAATTTAGTAAAACTTTTTCCCAAGATAGGTTCCAGGAAAGAAATGGTCTGGAACTTGAGTTATTAATTATATTCTTTCTAGATCCACTAAGACAGAAAAATTCAATTTGCTTATAAATGGGAGAGGTTGAGAGAGAAGAGATTTGACATTTGTGAGAGGAAAGTAGAGCCTTTTGGCATTGGGATGTGCAGGCCCTCAAAGTTCTACAGTGTGTTCTATTCTGTGAATTGTATTTAAGATACCATTTTTCTATCAAAGTTTTTCAGCTTGAGTATGGCTCAGATATGCCCGTTTGTATCTAAGATAACGAATATGAATCATTGGTCCAAGATTATAGAAGCAAAGAGGAAGATCATTGGGTGCCTGAAAACAAAACAAAAATGAAGGTTAATAGAGAAACAAAACCAGAAATTGAAGGACCAGGAGAAGAAATGAATACAAAAAAGCTACAAGAATTAGGAGAAACCCAACAACAGCAACCAAACAACATTCTAGACAAAATAGTAGAAAATAGAAACAAAAATGAAGTTCTTGAGATCAAGAACAATAGTTGTAGAGATGACAGAGAAATGGCTCTTTTTTTGGGTTGCATAGAGGAGGCCAAAATTGAGTGAGACCCTATGTTTTACCCTATAAGGATTTGAATGTGTGCCAAGGTTATCAATGGTGGATGACAGTAACCAAAAAAACTGTCATAAAATTATGGCAGTTGCCATGGTGGGTTACGGCGAATATAATAAAACAAAAAAAAAATATTATAGGTCATAGAAAATGATAGAAAAGAATTAACTCAAAACATTAGTATATCCCACAATTCAAAGCTAGGGATGGCAATGGGTAAAGTATTTGATGGGTACGGGCAAAATTTAACCACAATAGGTAGGGTATTTACCCGTTATACGGGTACGGGTATGGGTAAAAATCTGCAAATTTTAATGGGGATGAGTGCGGGTATGAGTATCTAAGTACCCATCCCGCCCCACACACAGGAGTTGGAACAGCCTCGAACAAAGAACAAAGAAGAGAGAAACCAGAGATGAAGAAGTGAGAGATGAAGCAGTGAGGCAAGATTATTAGGGTTGGGCTTGTGGGTTTTTGCTTTGGGCTGGGTTAGATCCACAGCCCAACCCCTTTTGTCTGCAAAAAAAACCCATTTTTCTTCAAAAACTGCCATTTTTCTGCCTTTATCACCGTTACTGCCATGTGCATAATGATCGCCATGGCACCGCCACTGGAAAATGCCATGCCTAAAACAGAGAGCATGGAAACTGCCATTGCCATCTGCCATGGCTGCCATTTGAAAACGTTGATGTGTGCTAGATCCAAGATTTGAGGTGAGAGTGGGCTATAAGTTTGAGTGGTTTATTTGTTTATAATGCCTTAGGGAATTTAGACTTGTAACCCTCTTACTTATATATCCATTGATTTGTTGTTAGTCCATCAATGTGGGACTTTATTATATTAATAGGCACTGAGCGAGAGTCAAGGACTAAACCAATAGCAACAATGGAGGTTTTGGGTTTGGGTAGTACAATAAACCCACCACATAAGCAAAATAAGGTCAAGGATATTGATAATCACAGCTGTAACTGCAATTCACAAGGAGCCATGGGATCTCAATATAATAATGGATGTTCTGTTTGATGGCCAAAAATACCACAGAAAACAAAGAATTGGAAGAGATTGAATGCAGCCACTTGTTTGTGTTTGATCTAGGAGTGGTTGAGGCTATTTTGGGGCTGCAATAGTGGAGTTAGCTTAATCATAATATTTTAAACAAATGGAATCCTAATAGAACTTTCTTTTTGTAGCTGCTATAGCTATTCACTTGAGGACAAGGTGAATGTTTAGGGGAAAGTATAGTTAGGTATGCTCCATTAGTATTTAGTTACAATGTAAGTTACCCATTAGTAATTATATTTCTCAGTTAGCCTGAATTAGTTAATTAGGTATGCTGCCTAAAATAAGTAGACAGGATGCGGGGGAAATATCTTGTGAATTGTGAGAGTTAGGGCCTTTGGCTTGGGGGGAGCAGTCCCTTGAAGAACTACAGTGTTATATCCTTGTTAGGGTTCAGAGATAAAATCAAGGTAAGGGTTGAAGAAAAAAATGGTTTTGTTAATCACTAGAAATAATTAGGATTACAAAAGAATTCTCCATAGCTTACAGCTTCTAAAGAGAGAATGAAATTCACCTCAAAACAAACAACGGAATCAATAATTCCTCAATAAAGAAACTAACTCTATTTATATCTATCTTAACATTACTAATAAACTAAGTACATTAGCTAAGCCTTATCCTTATCTTCTGCATCATCAATACCAAGGTAGTTAAATTGGGATTCAAATTGTGAATTGGATGACCTATTTTTTGAATTGTGAATCGAATCGTATTTTGAATCATAAGATTCAAGATCAATAATTTAAAACATAAATATAATAGCATTGTAACATAAAAAAATATCTATATATTGATATTTTGAAGTAAATAATATATCACTAACAATATGACATACACTTGTAAGCAAATTAAGATTCAAATCATAACACTTAATCACATTATCAAAAAAAGTGACTGCTCAAAATCAACATATAGTCTTTCAAAAAGATAAACAAAAAATGACAGCAAGTCACTATAGCAAAAATTCGAAAGATAATGAATGATCATTCATCATCTTCAAGATCTATGTCACTTAGTTCATCTTCTTCATCTTCCAAAATCAAAAGTTCCTCCTCTTTCACCCCCTCTCTAATAATGCCTTTAATTTTATCATCATCTTCTATCATAGATTTTTCCTTCTTATTAGCTTTGACATTTAAGTTTCTTGGACCTATGAAACTAAAATAATGGAACAAGCATGACAATGTATCAGAGTAATTAAATTTTTAGTATTTTTTGTTCAAGTTCTAATTCTAAATCAGCATAAATACCTCTTTTTCTTTTCTTCCTTGAAGCTCCCTCTTCAAAAGGAAAGCACTCATGTATATCCATCCATGAAGCATCAATTGATAAGCATGGATTCTCTTTTTCAATAATCCATTCATCATCTAATTCAATGTCGGATAAGCATATGGGATCATAAGTCTCTCCCCTCTCTTCTCTACACTCTTGTCTCATCTCTAATTGTATGTTATATTTAACAAATACAAGTGCATTTAGTCTTTGTTGTTCCAAGCGATTTCTTCTTTTAGTATGCACTTGATCAAATATACTCCAATTCGTTTCACATCCTGTTGCACTTCATGTAAGACTCAAAATTCTCATGGCTACCTTTTGCAACTCTTTATCATCTCTACCATAACTCTCTCACCAAAGAGTTATCAAAATTCAAAACAAAATATGTATAAATAATTAGCGAAGTATGTCATGTTACTTATTGGTTTATAATTATTTGTAAAGTTGGCAAAGTATGAAGATTGAAGAGTTACCTCTTGTCTCTAGTGTCTATTGCCATATGTATAAACTTCTCAAGTTGTTGATCAATTAAAATTTTTGTCTTTCTATCTGGAATCATTCTTTCAATGGTTTCATATAAACCATACAAAACCTCACTATTTGGATTAAAGCTTTTGTCATAATGGAACCTAACCAAACAATAAAAAAGAGTCAGGATGAATACGCAATTAAATGAAATTTATGATATTAAGAATGTCTACTTACCTAGGATTGAGATAATATGCAGCTGCATGGAGATGTCTATGTATGTGTAAATTCCACCTAGAATCAATGATCTTCCACACTTTCTTATACCTTGACTCTTTTTTTTGGAAATTTTCAGCAATTTGCTCTTTGGCTCTATCCATTGCTTCATAAATATATGACATGACTGGTTTTGAATCACCATCTACAAGTCTAAATACTTTCACAAGTGGAATTACACACTTTAAACAATATTTGATGAATTTTCAAAATTTATCATCACTCAACACTATGCTCATCACTTGGTTAGCCTCAACTCTATTAGCATAAGAACTAGAAGCAAACTCTTTTGAAGCAAACATAGATTGAGCATTCTTTTGTTGCATAATGCAATTTAATGTGAGATAAGCAGTTGCAAACCTTGTTACGGCTGGTATTGCTAACTCTCTTCCCTTAGAACGCTTTTTGTACAAATTAAGGATCCATTTATGCCTATATATGTAAGTTGTGATTTTCGTTGCATTTGTAATGGTAGCATAGAAAATTGGAAGCTCTCCAATATCCTCTAGAACTAAATCAAGGCAATGAGCTGCACAAGGTGATCAAAATAATTTAGTTTTCTTCTCTTCTAACATGTTTCTTGCTGCCACAAGATTAGAAGTACCATTTGTTACAACTTGCACTATATTTTTTCCCCAATTTCATTTATCATGCTGTCCAATAATTCAAACATTTGCTTGGCATCCTTAATTACATTACTAGTATCAATAGATTTTAGAAGACAGTCCCACTAGGACTGTTAACAAGAAAATTAGTAAGTGACCTTCCTTTCTCATCTGTCCAACCATCACACATCAAAGTGTAGCCCCATTTTTCTCATTCACTTTTGTATTTCTCTAAATTTTGACAACATCTCTATCTTTGAACATTGTATTCATTGTTGTTTGCTTCAAATTTTTAGATGTCCCTCCATTTTCTTTGTTGACAAAAGAATCCATACTTTTCTTTTGATGACCACTTACATCCTAGGTCTTAGCTTCTTAAAAAAACTCCAAGCTGTTTTCACTTTTTTTCTTTTCTTTCTCTTCCAAAGTTTGATGAATATCTCCTTTACCTTATCTGGAACACTTGTACAGGCACTTATATTTGCCTTTGTTCTAGCTAGATGATGTTTCACCCTTGCAATTCCACCCCAACAAGAATGAGAACAATATTTTTATTTCACTAATAGCCTGTGCAGAGGGACACTTTCCATGTGATATCACTTTCATTTGTTTTTTTGGTAGGATCCATTTGTCTCCCCAAACAGCAAACAACAAGTAGAAAAGAGAGGAGAAGCCAAATAAAAAAAAAGGAACCGTGGTAGAGGGAGAGGGGACTACCAGAAATATTGAATAGGAAGTGGGAAGTTGTGAGAAGAATCACAATAATGACAACAATGTAATAGGGAATAACATGAATATTGAAATGTGTACGTGGAGAAAAGAGAAAAGGAAAGAGCGGGAATGAAAGGCAAATGAGAAAATAGGGATTTCTTTTAATATTACGTAGTGGATCTGTCAACAGAAACCATCTAAGGTAAAAATCGGCCTTTCTGTAAAAAAAAAAAGAGAGGTTTTTTAGGGTTTTACTGTATCGGGTCGAGCTGACCCAACCTGCTTTTTGTGCGACCCGGTTCGTACCTGAATCATGCGCTGCCCACTGAATCGCATCTCAGCACTGATTTGTTTGATTTGTGCGATTTGCAAAACGATTTTGGATCCAAAACGATACTGCGCTTGATTTGTATCGTTGCTGCTAAAATCCTTATCGTATCGCATATTGTGCGATACTTACTACACTAATCAATACTAACAAACTAACTAAAATTAGCTAAGCCTTATCCTTCTGCAGCTGACTCTTTTCTACCCTTCCTCCTAAAATAAACCTTCCACACTTTAGGTCTCTTCTTGACATCAATGATATGTTCCTCTGCACAGTTCTAACACTTGTAATTGGGATTCATCCTAAATACTTCTTAACAAGATAGCTAGTTTCTATCATATACTTATTTTAAGCATATTTAATTTCTCATTTTTTTTCCTATTGAAAAATTTATATGTTCAAATCCATAGCTTAAATGTGTTTTGATTATCAAATTTTGTGTTCAAAGTTACTTATGATCAAAATCTTATATTGTGAAAACTTTAGGGGGCAAAAAGACACGTTTTCTCTAAAAATGAAGCTAATCAAATATAGATTGTCAATAGTGGACAACAGCACTGCTATAGCAGTGTTGTGTTGCATATTTTCTTATGTAATTGTGTTGCATTTTAGTGCTTTCTCTTCTGTCTTTTCCCCTCTATTACTATGCGACTCGTCAGCCCATTTCTCTTCGGTGACTTTCCGACCACATCCTAGTATTTTCTGGTCAGTACTTGCTGTGTTCTGATTAACCCATGCTCTCGGCTCACTTATTCTGCATTTTAGGTCAAGTGCCCTGTTTTCCCTTTTGTTTTACTGTCCTGCTGGTTGCTGTTCTTCTTTCCTTTTCCTCTTCTTTTTTTATTCTCTTTTTCTCTGTGTTTTGTTGGTTCCAGACTCTATTCTTTTTTATTGTCTGAGTGCTCTGCTTGTTCTAATTTTTTTGTTCTCTCAAGTCCGAGAGTTCTTTTGTCATCTGTCTCCCAAGACCTAGACTAATTTATTTTGTCTAAGAGCTCTTGCTATTTACTGGAATGTTTTGTTTAAGACTTATTATCAATTATGAATATGTCATGAATTTTGAATATATATATTTTTTTTAACTTTTTAAGCATTTTTATGTACATAGTATACATTATGTGATCTGTATAAAAAATTTCAGAATAGTGGCTGTCCTGCTATGTGCTATACTGCTATAGCATTTTTAGGGTCAACTACTACACGCTATTATATGAGATTGATATCTATGAATCAAACTTGCTTCAAAGAACTCACCCCTAACAAATATTATATCCAATATTTATCACTTCTATAATAGCATGAAGGATAAGACATTAGGTATTGGTAACAATGACATCATTTATATTTTACAGTGTTTGGAATTTATCGTTCCTCTGTTTATATCTGCCCCATTCCTAATCTTATAAGCTTATGTAGATTATCAAGGAGTGGAATGCTGAGTTGCAAGAGCGAACTGGAAAATTTAGAAAACAAGCAAATGCAATTGCTGAGTGGGATCGCAGGATTTTGCACAATCGTGATGTTCTATTGAGGCTTGAGGTTTTTCTACATATACTAATAAATTTTTTAATTATTTCCTACATACAAACAGCCTAAATTTTGGCAATTATAACTGTATAGTTTATTTATAAAGTTATAAATTTAGATCGAAGTGGCAAAAGTAGTTGAGACACAGTCAAATTTGGAGCGGCAATTGGAGTTGATAGAGACTCATCAACAGGAGGTATTTTGAGAACCAGTTATTTCTAAATAGTTTATTCTGAGCTTCTTCTATTTTAGGAGATAATTTCTTTTTGTTGTTATGGTATGGTGTTAATAAAAATATTGTGCTTGTATTTATTTATAGTGTTCTTTGTTTTGTTATCTAACTTCTATCCTTGCTTTCTTCTAATGGTAACATACTATCCCATTGGGGTTAGAAAGTTATTTATGTGCCAACTAAACATCATGCTTGTCTTCCTTAGCTTGTTTTATGTTAAAACAATCTTTTTGAGAGCATTTGAAAAAATTGTTTTTCCTTTAATTCTTGCTAAATCGAACATGTAGGACATGCTCCTTTACATTGGAATGTGCCCAGTAGAACATTCCTTAAAAAATCAAATGGTCACTATTGGTATATTAAGCACCCCAACATAATCAAATTATAAATTCAGGTATACTCAGATTCAACAAGCAAGCAGAGGTTATTAAATTCAATTTCACCATTGCTCACAAATTAAATAAAACCTGGGAAGTTAGCTAGTGAAACATATTAATTTAGAATATAGAAATCAAAATAAATCTTAAGGGAAATGTCCAAAATTGAAATTGATATATTCAGAAATTCAGGAAGATAATTCTATTCAAGGTTTTCAAAATTGTAGATCCTACCTTGGATCAGAAAAAGAAGATAGAAACATAAAATGTGAGATTGTAACACTAAGATGGAAGATCCTATCCCTTGTGTAAACTTATATGCAAGAATAAAGCATAATAACAATAAATCGCATGTTTGGGAACACAATTCAATTCAGTGTTTATTCAATAAGTTCTTATTACATGAGGGGTGTACAATAAACTTGACAAAAATTTATTGGAATAGGCTGAAACGAGTATATTTTGATAGGCTATACTGAAATAAGTTGAGAATATCTTATGGGAGCTATAAACTATTTTTCATAAGCTCCCCATAAGATCTTTCAAATGCCCTTAAAAATCACTGTTAAGATGTTTTACATTGGTTAGGAATTATGTCAGAATACTCCTTATAAGAGTTAAGACAGTCCTTCTCCTATGAGCTAGCTTTTGGGAGTGAGTTAGGTCTAAGTTTTTTAACAATCACAGTCACAACTAACCTTTAAATATATACATTCTTGACTTAATTCAGTGTTTGATCCCTACAAAAGTTACCCAATTTGGATATAATCCTTATAAAATTTTTTGTCAAGATATAGTTCTTACTTTTTTAGAAACTATTGTTTTTAGTTTTTCCGGCTAATGTGATCCAACCAAAAACTAACACTTGTTAGTATCTGAATGGATCACATCAGTTAGAAGTATTAAAAACAATAGTTTGTGAGAAAACAAAGACTATATCATAACAAAAACTTTTATAGGGACTCAATCCAAATTATGCAACGTTTGTAGGGACCAAACACTTAATTAAGCCTACATTCTTCCATAGCACTTCTGCACTGACAGAACCAGTAGCACTAGCAGCTACACTTGAAGTCTAGAACCACTAAGAGTACTGGAAGCAGCAGGGACACTAGATGGCATTTTCCTGACACCCAACAATCAAAAGTACCACCCAAAACTAAAATTTAGATGATCTGAATTACCATTTTGACCACTATGGTTCTATTTTAATATCTAATTTATTAATGAAGCTAATGTTTATATAGTCATTTCATCTAACTTTCTTTTCTTTAGGGCTGTCAAAAGTTGGGTTTTTCAGTACCTGATAGAAAATTTATGTTCCTTAAATAAGTAAAGGTTATCATCAAAATATTCACAATGATTGACATAGTTCAGTGCACATAAAAACATTTTTGAAATGTGTTTCATGTGATAGAAGCATTTTATTGTTGCCCCTGTAATAGGTTGATAAGGCTTTACAAAGCATGGAGGAAGAAGCTGAACGCATTTACAAGGATGAGCGTGGGCTACTTCTTGATGATGAGGCTGCATCTACAAGAGATGCAATGTGAGTTTTGAATCATCAAATATTATTGACTATTATCTGGGTCCACTGGAGGCTGACTGATTTACATATTAAGTCCGTGTAATATGAATTTCCTGAAATGGATGGTTTAATCCGATGTAATCTATATTCTATGTTTTTAACCTAGTCTTTGTCATAGAGTCTAATTTTCAGTTCAATCTGGTTTGTGTGTAATAGGAAGTGATTTTGACTTAATATGACTGTTTGAATTATTTTCTTAGTTTTCATGTCTCGCTCTTGTATGCCTAATTTCATAAAACCAGGAAAAGTTATTACTGTAAAACAACCAAGTATGCATGATAATGGCTCAATATTTTTGGCTACTCCTACAAAGTCTCCTAAAATCCGTGTGTAATATGATTTTCAGATAAATGAAAATATCAACTGCATGATCATGTGCTTTGTAGTTATTTAAGTTTTATAAGTTTGACATGCAGAATCAACATGATAAAACTAAATTTAAGCTAATAGTCAGATTTATCAAAATCACATCCAATAATTTGTTGTAACTTAGCAGCTTTTTGCTGTCGTACTGACAATTGAGTCAAGTTGCATTAATTAATCTCATTAGATTTCGACTATTTCTGTACTACTGATTACTGAATACAAATTGGTCTTTCATGGTGTTGACTGAAATATATATTACATGGAGGATTACTATTCATGATACTTATGTAGGGGTTATTTAAATCTGTTAGGTAACCTCCATTAGTAGTTAGTTATAGTATGTTAATATTACTGAATAGTTAGGTAAAATAGTTTGAATAGGGGATGTTGCCTATAAATAAGAGGGGAGGTTATGAGAGGGATCTATTCTCATTTAGAAAGGATTAGAAGAGTGAGGAGAGAACAGGGTCTCTCAAATACCTTGGGGTTATACTAGAAAATAATACACAATTTTGTCTCTTTTTGTTATCTATTTTCTCTATTTCTTTCTCTGTCCTGAGGTCGGAGATTAAATAATATGATAATTCATGGAACTAGGTCTTGGTGAGAGTCCTTGGTGGAATTCTATAATTCAATCCCCATTGTCCAATTGCAGTTGTCGAAACCTACTAACACTAAATACCAAAAACAAAAACACTAGTGGTTTTGTGAAAATTTATTTTTATAATTTCAAGGTTTAGTCACCTACAATTAAAATTAAACTCAGAATATTTAAGTAGTTAGTAGATTAGTTTCAACATATCTTGCATGCCAAACGCCCAAACCTTTCATTTGTTTGCCAACTGGGATTGGCTCACTTGGTTAACTTTACTCATTACAATTGTTTGACTTGTGATTAAATATAGGAATTCTTGTTGGTATATCATATGTAATTTCATGGCAAATCTTCACCAAGGTTGGTGGTTTCTGCTGACCTTGGAATTGAGATTTGAGAGTTTTCAGCTTTGCATGCTAATGAAATCAGAGATTTAGGGTTACGTTTTTCAACTCCCTTTTCCACTTTAACTTCGTTGCTGACCCTTCCCATCAGTTTGATTTATTTATTTTTCTAATATTTTCATTTGCAGGTATGAGCAATCTGAATTGATAGAAAGGGAACTAGAGCAGATGACAGAACAGATAAAATCAATTATCCAATCTCTTAATTCAAACCAGGTACAGGTCGTTAGTTGCTCATTTATTCAAATGAAAGAACAAGAAATTTTGCTTATACAATGATGTTTCATTCAGGGTGGAGAATTTGATACACTTGATGGAATGACTCCATTAGATGCAGTAGTTCGAATTCTAAATAATCAACTAACCTCTCTTATGTGGATTGATGAAAAGGTTTGTATTTTTTTCATTGTGCTATTTGTTTTATATAATGGAATTTTTAGCTATTTTGTGGTATAGTTACATAGAATGGACCACACATAGGGTTAAGATTAACTAGCATGATCAAGGTCTAGTGTTTTTTTTTTTTAAAAATTTGTATAGATTCATTTTTCACTATTTTAATGTCTGATTATTGTGCAATTAGCCGTGTAAAGATGCTTCTGCCGTATGTGAACTTATTCTTATTCCCCCTTGCAAGTTATTAGAAATATGGGGACACGTGACATCCAATGAAAGCCTGCATAGTGCATACTTCATACAGTCCGTTTTGTTTTTTGCTGCAACTGCTCTGACTTTGATCTATCCACTTCAGGCTGAAGAATTTTCTTCCCGTATTCAGAAGCTAGCTAACCAAGGTTCTACTTCAGATCGTGAACTGACGGGTCCAGGAATCTGGATGTCCTGATATTTCAAATTTGTACAGTTTATATCAACCTTTCCAAAATTAGATGAAATACCGGCAAGATTTATATTTGTATGGAGAGGCTATTTTTGTATTTACTTCCCGATATCACTTCTATAATTTCCTTATGAAGAAAAGCTGTCATTATCAAATATTTAGCGGTAAAGCACGAAGGACTAACTTTTTTTGTAGCAACTTTCAACTATGAAAATGTTTGAGATTCCTTTGAGTTAATGCCTACGAATTTAGAGATATTAGAAACAGGATGGCAATGTGCTGGGTGAAATACTAAAATCTCCATACCTACGTTAAAGAGAAAAGCCTGTATCTGGGCTGATATTTGTGAGCAGTAATTTTAGGTTGTTTTCATATTTGACGGGTATTTAATGTATCAGAATTTTAGATTCATTCTTCCTGCTTTAATGACGTATGCTATATTTTATTTTATTTTGATAAATTGGTACAGCCAGAATGTTGCATTTATGATTAAATTAATCATGACATTATTTAAATAAAAAATATGGAAGTATAGCATAATTTAATAAAAGAAATTTAAAATCTGTAAATTCCTAGTTGATGCATTTTGGGCCTGTACTCAAACTTTCGAGGATATTATTATTTAGCCTCAAGTGTAGACTTTGTCAATGAGTAAAATATCTATGTAGTCCAGTTAAAATTCTGAGACCTAGTTGAATCTAGAGGCAATTATCATCACTAGTTGGCACGTGAACTGCTGGTGAACTGAAGGAAACTAGACTAATGTAATACTTCGTTCAACTCCAGAACTAAGACATTATTTGCCAGTAGTTTAGTAAATTATTTACAAATAACTAAATTTTGATTTAGGCAGCTAATCTAGCCTTCAAAAAGGGTGATATCGAAATTCTTAAATATGCGTGTTGCAGATTATTGACATATTGCTTTTATTCCGTGTCATTTTTGAAATGAAGGTATTGTTGACATATTGCAGATATCAAATTAATAAACATTGTGAAAATCAAATAGAAGTAAAAGGTGATATCAAAATTCATAAATATGCTATTTTTGTAGACTGAGAGCTAAAATCAACTTACCCGATTATTTTATTTTTAGAACAAAAAGAAAAAAAATACAAAAAATAAGTGAAAGTTTGCACATGGATCAATTGTCCAAATTATAAATCTACAAGGAAATACTCGTCATATTCATACTCCATTGACTAAAACTTTTGAGATCGAGCCATTATTACAATCAAGAGGATTAGTATGGAGAGCAGGAAAGACGACCTAACTTTTTCATCCAGCTCTGTTGCATCGGTGGTAGCATTTTTCATCCCAGGGGATTGAAACAAATCATTCACAAGTGACTGGAAACTTTCAATCAGTTCCAAAATCTTTCCTTTTATGATATCCAATATCCAGCTGCATATTATGCCAAATTCATTTTGTTCAGAAATGGGAGGCCTTCTACATTCAACTGGATGAAATAATACAATGTGAAATGAGTTAGTAGAAGTTTAATGCAATCAATTCTTATAATTTCATACCCATTTTCTCTTTTTCACCCACCCACCTTTCTATCTCTTTTCCTTGTCTATTACATCATTAATCACGTTTTTTACTTTTTTCTCTCTTCCTTTATATTTTTCTACCCATCTCTCTCTTCCCTTCGCCCATTTTACACCCAGAAAATGGGTTTAAGAGTGTATTTTTCGTAATGCAATCTAGTATTTCAACATTCCAAAAACATTGTTTTCACATCAGTCGGGGGTGTATAGGAAAGAGATATATATAAAGTGAAGAAGGAGAAAACGAGGTGTGAGATGGACAGAGAAATTGGGATGTGAAAAAGCAGGGTTATTTAATATTCTATGAAACAAACACTGGAGAGATTTTATGAAAGAACGGAAAACCTTTTTCTATAGTTGGTTCCGTTCCTTCTTTCATAACACTAGATCAAAAACAGTAGCTTAACCACTGTCAATTATGTCTCTTATATCCTTTCTTCTCTTTCTTATGTTCGGGGGGAGGGGGTGATTCTGAAAAGCATGAATGCATTATGCAGTTAGTAGCCACTGCCACTAATTTATTTACTTCTGTACTTTTACACTTCACAAAACACACATACAAACCTGAATCAGGCAACTCTAGGAGCTGCTTTTGATGCAGCACATTGCTCATGACAGCATCCCAAAGAGCTTTATCAGATGATAATGAAACCACTAATCTCTACAAGCAAGTTACAATTCCAAAGAGATACAAATTAAATAGAAACATAACAATAGCAACAGCAAAATTCATAGAAAATTAAATAAAATAATAAAAGCATGAATATCACCAAGGCGCCATAGAAATACATTCAAATTGAGGATAATAAATTAATAACAAGAATCCCTTAAAGTGGTAGTTAATGGGACAAATGCGGTGCAAAAGCTTGGCAAAAAAGAACGTATATATCTTCAAAATCAACATATATATATATATATATATGATTGAAAAAGAAGAGAATTTTTATAATTTTACTTTTGATCCAAACTAAGGGGTCATTTAGGTACAATTCAGGAAATAGAAATGATTTTGCACTGTTTTAAAACTACTAAAGTGAAGAGGAAACCTTTATGGCGGGATCAGCTTGCAGCAACTGAAGAGCATCATTAAGTCTTTTATATCCCTGAGACATCACTACCCTTGGATCACAAGAGCCTAAGATCTGCTGAAGTGTGCTTGAGGATGATACTGCTTGAATAAATCTATCATTTAACAATTGTTAACCGTCAAATTTTGCCACGTGATTCTGAAATGACTTTTACATCAAAGGAGATAAGGCTGAATCATGAGTAACAATAAATGTTGTAACATCAGGGCTCAAGATAGAACACTAATTGACCAAAATAATACATGAGTTGAAATTATGCCAATAGAAAACGACAATAATAAAATTGAAGTCAAACTATTCATTACCATAACAGTAACAACAACCTTCTTGCATTTGAAATTCCAAGAAATCCTAAACCTATGTATCCAAACACATGAGCATTCCTAGAAGCATGCTAAGTGCCCAAAAAAAAAAAAAAAAGATAAACATATCCGAACCAACGAAAACGTCCAATCTAAAACCTGCCCAAGATCATAATCTCAAAAAGGTATCTGTAACAACAGAGGGAGACTCTAGAGATGCCATAAGAGAACACAGAAAAAAGAAATTCAAGACTTAGAACTCACTCTTGAAGAGCATATACCGCATCCTCAACTTCACTTTGAGATGGAACAGGTTCAAATACATGATTATAGAGACAACGACATGCTGACGTGGCTTCTTTTCCACCCAGCAGCTCCTGTTTTGTGCAAAGTTGAGTGTGACAACTGCTACATGATAAGTTGTTGTCAGTTGAAAGTGGAGGCTTGATATTGGAAGGAGGAGAAGGTGAAGAGAACTTGTTGAGGGTGTTTCTCAACTTAGGCACAGAATGGTCAGAATGCATGACGGTTCCACCTCCCATTGATGATTTCTTTCCAAACTTGCACTTGTTAATTGTTACTCTTTTTCATAATCTTCTTCGGCTAATAATTGGTGGGTTGTGTGGATCATTGGGTGGGCTTGTACAAAATTATAGGCCCATGGGCAGTGTTAGGTCAGCATAAACTGTGACTGTGTATTGGATAATGCACTGTAGTTTCGAGGAGTACTTTTAATTATACGGTGTATGAGGAATTTTAGCTAAGGAAAAAAATAATAGTACTTACGGAATGTCATCAGGAGGAATACTATGATGGACATGTTATTTTTGGATTTTTTTAAGAAAATGCTATTTCATTTGTCACAACCCCTTTTTGTAAGGAACTGAGAACATTGGTTGTATATCGCATATTTATTTAACATAAATAAATAATAGAAAATATAAGTATGAAATTCTCTTCTCAATTAAAATAAAACAAAGTTTCTTACAATAAATATCTAACAGAATAACATAATATTACATTTAGTTCATAATATTCAAAATACCCAAAATTATACTATATAGTTCCCTTTACATGAGGTCTCAAAATATAAGGGAAAAAGAACTTTGATGAAATATTACTCGACCCCAGCTTCTAAAATTTCTTCACTGGCCCCTCAGCTTGTGAAGTAGATGCAACACCTGCTACATCTGCTCACGTACCACCGTACGATCATCGCAGTACACACGCACACAACGACATAGAAAGAAATGCAAGGGTGAGCTTACCAAACTTAAAATAAAATCATATATATAGAGCAAAATATTTCTCACAGCAATAATCCCATGCATTTCCAGCCCATCTAATGCACAACATGAAAACGGTTTCTAACTGGTTTCACAGCCTAAGTAATCCAGAAGGAACCGAGCCGGTCCGTGACGACCCATTCCGGTATCTGGATCCAGACAGCACAGCACAACAGCTCAGCATGAACTTACCGTTACACGTCTACCCACCTAAACATGTAACTCGACTCTATAATGATGCAAAACATATATATCAGCATGATGCACACCGCTAAAATTATTTTGAACAGCTCAGCTAAGGCAAGTTTAAGATAGATCAGCCAAAATCTCAGCATTTTAAATCAATTAACAGCAGTTACAGCTTAGAAAATAGCTTTTATTCAATAGATCTAACAAAATCATATAAAAACATCTTGAAATAGCATATTAAACCGTTCAAAACGTAGTTCATAGGTTAAAGTAAACTCCCCTTACCTCAGAAAGATGATTCACACTAGATCTACCGAATATTATTTGTTTTAATGCAAGATTCACCGAAGATTCGGCTTCAGAACGAAGTTTCTCCTAAGAACACCATGAACTTCTATGAGAAAGAGGAGGAGAAGAGAAACGAACGGTAAATATAGCTTCAAACTTAAAGAAACTTACTTCAAATCCTTCAAAATAGACGTAGAATCTCAGATCTGGCGAGAAATTTAAGTTTAGAAGGGTTTAGTATGAAAGAAAATGGTAGTATACGGCCTTAGAACCTTGAAGAGGAATGAAAAAATGAAAATTTCGTGTGAAGCCCCCTTTTTATAGAAAATTTTCAAAATTTACTGTTCACCGTCGGAATTTACTGTTTATCGCCGGAAACACTGTTCAGGGCACTATTCACGCTGAAAAATACTGTGCATGCGTACTGTACACGCACTATACGCGTATGTGACGTCAGCCATGACGTCATGATAATGTCACTGATGACGTCAGCAGTCACTGTACATACGCGGTTTTTACTGTTCATACACGGTTTGTACTTTTCATACGCGGTTTTACTGTTCACAGGCGATTTTACTCTTCATTGACACTGTTCATATGGTATTGTTCACTTTTTTTTTTAAACTCCATCTAAATCTATTCCAATACCAATTAATCCTTCAATTAACATTTAACAAATATAAAATATTATATATTACTCAATAATAAATCACAGGCCTGACATCATTAACATTTAAGATATCTATGGCGAATCTTACGGATGCATTGGAATAATTAAAATATGACTTTGGTTCACAGAGTATTTAATACGGCCATTTATGATATTTTTCAGAAAAATTTGTATAAAATAAAAAAAATTAGTATAAAAAATTATATAAGGTAAAAATAATTTATTTTCTCAAATTTTATATAAATTAATTGAGAAAACTTCTCAAAGAATAGAGAAACATAAATTATTTCTTATTTGAAAAAAAATAATTCATTTTTATATTAACTTTTTTCTGTTATAATATTTTTAAAAAAAGTTTATTTAAATTAAGTCTAGATTTTAAACATTTATCATATAAGATATTATTATTATGCCTATTTAATTGATAAAACATGGATAAAAAATGGAAATAAATAGTTATTATGCCTGTAATGTAAATATGATGTTTTATTTATAAAGTGCTGATTTATAATCTACAGTTATGTATTAGAAACATGCGTCAAAAAACGAGAACATTGATTTCACACAAGATTGTGTTGGAATATGTCATAATCAATTTAATTTTGGACTATGGTTAAGTTATATATTTTTTTAACATGGTTGCAATTTTGTAGTTAAGTTGTTTCTGTTAACATTTTATTTAGATGCATTGAAATTAAGAAATAAGGTAGAAAAATTAATATCTCTTTTGAGTTTGGAACAGGAAGCAGTTTTTTCATAGTCCCACCACAGCATTCTCCCCTCCCCAATTTCTTTTTTAAGAAATATTAAAATAATATAATTTTTTAAAAAAATATTACAATATAAAATTAATTTTTATTTAACATAATATTTTTATTTATTTTATTCTTTTATGAATATTTTTAATATAATTCAAATTTTTTTTAGTCTTTTTCTACTCATTCAAGCAAATAGAAATTTTTTTTATCATTTTTGCTCTTATTTTAACTTATTTAAATATCAATTTTTTTCCTTTTTTTCTCTCTTTATTTCACGTTACATTAAAATGTTTTGATGTACATGCAGTGTGTTAATAATTGAATAGTGCATAATATATTTTGATAAATAGATGTGTATATAATAAATTGTATTGTGATATATTTGCATGTGTAACACTAATTGTAGAAAATAAATTTTAAATTCACATATTTAAAACATTTTATAATATTTTTTGTTAAATTATTTATTATTTTGATGTAATAAAAAATTATTTGAATTTTATAGGATACTAAAATATTAAAATGAATCCATCTTTTTATTTTTATGTTTAAAAAAGGCACATTTGGTGGTTGAACTTACAATTTCTATTGGTGATTGTGGTTTTATAACATAAGGAATTGGCTAAGTGGTTGATGGGTTGTAGTGTGCAATGACTCATAGTTAAGTGGTCAAGATGGTGACAATTGAAATATTCCTATTACTATTAATAGTTTTATCTCAATTTGCTAAGTTGTCATGTCACTTTACTAATATTATGTAACACACACACACACACACACACACATATATATATATATATATATATATATATATATGAGTAGTCATATCCAAAAGTAGGTAATTTTATTTAGACCTCCTAAATTTTTTTAAATTATTTAAATATATTACAAATTAAAGAAAAATGAATGTCTAATGAAAAAGTCCGAAGAAAACATAATTTTGTATATAACCTTTTTCAACAGTTCGCCCTTATCTACTACTCTAGTCCATCTAGAGGAGGATTGTCATGAAGGCTTAAGTAAGCTACTGCGCAATACATAGGAAAGAGAATCTCAACCTTAACATGGCTCTGCATAACTATGGGAGCAACACCAAGATTGTTAATGGAAGTAATTGTTAATATAACACAACCAATAAAGATAATAGTTTGATTAATAGTATTATGACTTCAACTTCTAGCCTCCATACTAAAGGTCATGCTTTGCTTAAGAATAATAGGTACCCCCAAAGCTCATTCTATACCCATAACATAGTTGAGAGACACAAAACAAAAGACAAAATGAGTAAATTATTCATAAATTACATCATAAGATAATATTAATTACTTAATGAATAAAATATAACTAATCACTCTGTAAATCAAACAAACATTGTAATATTTGTTTTTGTACTTTTCTCCACAAAGTAATTAATTATCCATTTCTTTAATTTCTGGGTTGAAGATTGAGAGTTTTATGCCCACAATTCAAATAATGTCATAAGTACAACATCCCAAACTAAATGTTAGTGCACAATTCTATTATAATCACTTCCAACAGTTTATACTCTAACCAATTCTCGTATGTCTTAGTTCCTATTAGGATAGTTTAACATATTTCTTATTGCCTACGACACAAATTAGCTAAATTTGGTCATTTGCTAGAACTTGGGCACTTTGTTATCTCTTATGGTCAAACTAACATTATTTTTCCGTTGCTTGTACATGACATTTTCAACCAATTTTCTTATAAATTAATTCATAATCGTAAAACAAATCATAGCCATCAATTTGTCCATTTTATTCAAATTTATCATAATTACACATCCCTCAAACTAGATAGCAATTCATATCATGGACATGACCATTTTTAGATTTTTCTAGATTTCATACACCAACTTATAAAATTTATAACTAAATAAATTCCAATCCAAAAATCATAAAATCATAGGAGTTTTCTCTATTTAAGTGTCTATTTTCATATAAAAATACAAGCATAAATCAAATACTATAAAGAGCCATACAAAATTTAGTTTCACTCTGCTAGTGATAAATTCAGATTTTGATGAGGTTTTAGTTAGTTTTCTAGGATATTTTTAATAAGAAAGTGTAGTGTAGAAGATGAAAATCTCATAAGAATATATAATTGTTCAAATAATTCAAATTTTATTTTAGTAACTCAATTTGTTAGAATTAAATAGGATTTTTATGTAAATGTTGTTGATTGAATTAGTTTTGCATGAATTTCCAAAGAAAACATATGAATTGAAAGCTTTAAAAGGTCAAATGGGTCTAGTGTAACCACTTTGGGTACAAATAATGAATACTTTAGAAGTTTGAAAGATAATTAAGGTTGAGCGTAAACACTTTTGGCACCAAAAGTAAGCA